CCATCACCCAAAATTCCCATCACCCAAAATTCCCATCATTCAAAATTTCCATCATCCAAAATTTCCATCATCCAAAATTTCCATCATTCAAAATTCCCATCACTTAAATTCCCAATTCCTAAATTCCCAATTCCTAAATTCCCAATTCCTAAATTCCCAATTCCTAAATTCCCATCACCTAAGTTCCTATCACCTAAATTCCCATCACCCAAAATTCCCATCACCTAAATTCCCATCACCCAAAATTCCCATCACCTTAATTTCCATCACCTAAATTCCCATCACCTAAATTCCCATCACCCAAAATTCCCATCACCTAAATTCCTATCACCTAAATTCCCAATTTCTAAATTCCCAAATTCTCAAAATTCCAACTCCCAAGCCCCCAATTACCAAATTCCCAATTTCCAAATCCCCAAATCCCTAAATCCTCTAATTCCCAAATCCCCAAATTCCCAATCCCCAAATTCCCAATCCCCAATTCCTACATTTCCAAATTTCCACCTTCCAAACCTTGTAAACACCCAAATCTCCATCTATCCTAATTTCTAAATTTTCCAAATCCCCAAACCACCAAATCCTTCCATCCAAAAACTCCCAAAACCCACAACTCTCCTACAACTCTCCCCAAAATACCGCACCATATATAGTAATCCATACCAAGGTACCCTCAGCGCCTCACACAAATAATTCTCCTCACGCCACTGCCATAACGTTTCAATTGTATTCAAACACCCGTATAGAAAGTCCTCAAGCACTCAGATAAAATTAATTTATCAAACCCCGATAATTATGCTAAATAAAACCATAAACTCTCTTTCGGTGAAAGGAATGCGGCGACATAATACTTCTCAAAACCATGCATCACATATGTATGACATATCCACAAGAATAATCGAAAGTAATCAAAAAAGTGTTCACCAAAATAATCATGATCGAATAGCTATATTTTATTTCCACGAGATTCAAACGATAACATGTTTTATTCAATCTACGTCGGAACATCAAACCTATTTCCATGATGTTTGTCTTGTAGAGCGCGAAGAATGTAGGACACTGGGTGACCATTCGAATACACCGTTATAACCTGCTTCTTTACCGCCAAGTTTTCTTCTTCTTTTTTTTTTCTTCTGTTTACTGCTTTTCAACCACGTGTGTTATATTCGTGACTTTCGACTTCCGTATTTTTCTTCGCGCTCGAATTCTACTTTTGGGAAATACAGGATTTGTACGTACATTATAAGTGTATGTGTACATACACATGATTTATGTCGTGTGTGTGGAAGAAATATTATTTGGAAAAAATTTTGAAGTTAAGAGAGATTCAAGTGTAGTATTAGTTAATGTTATAAGGAACACAAGGCTTAACATATAAGTCTTATAAAGAAGTACATTCCCAAATTTCTAAATTACTAAATTTCGACAGTAGTAAATTTGAGAATTTACTAAGTTAGCAAGTTTCCAAATTCTCAAATGACTGTATTCTCAAATTTCCAAATTTCTAAATTTTCAAATTCCAAAATTTCCAAATTCCGAAATTTCTAATTTTTCAAATTCCCAAATTGCAAAATTTTCAAATCACCAAATCCTTAAATTCCGAATCCCTCATTTTCTACATCTAAAATTCCAAATATAAGTCAAGAATAATTTGGAACCAAAAAACCATTGAAGTACCAAAATCCCAAAATCCCAAAATCCCAAATACCAAATCCCAAAATCTCAAAACCCCAAAATCCCAAAACCCCAAAATCCCACAATCCCAAAATCCCAAAATCTCAAAATACCAAGTCCCAAAATCCCAAAACCCTAAAACCCCAAAACCCCAAAATACACCAAAATCCCAAAATCCCAAACTACCCAAACCCCAAAATGCAACAAATCCCAAAAAACTAAAAAAGAAACATTCGAATGCTCTCACCATGACGGAAGTGTTCAGTGAGGACATTGACCGACCTCGCCAAACAGCTCTCCACATCGTGGTCCCTCCTGGAGCACGGTTCCAAAAACTCCAATCCCCTGTACCTGCCCATGGCCCGTACATCTATCAGCAACAACGAACACACGCACAACAACAACCCGAATTTCCTCATCATCTTGTGTTCCTATTTTAAAATTAAACGTTTTAACCGAGCAACTCGAACGAATTTCTCCGCGTGGAATGACCGAAGAACAGGGATGAGCCAAGCCTTATAGCACCTTGACATTGCCCCCCGCTATGCCTTCGAGGCTGCCACTGTTCGAGGACAGGATAGAATCCAGCTACGGGAGATTCTTCGCTATCCCTACCCAAGGACTTTCTTACACACTGTATTGCTTTTTCAAACTGTATTATATCATTTCTTCTTTGCGGATTGCTGTACATTGCTTTTAAGAAGGGAGGAGATGGGTTTGGACTTTTGGAGAACTCTGAGAATTTTTTGGAAACTATAAATGTCAATATATGTATGTACTTTTTAGTATTTTGTATTCTGTGGACTTTTTGGAACCTTGTACAGAGGTTAACGTAACCTAACCGGCTACTCTTTGGTATCTTGTATTTTATGGACTCTTTGAAACCTTGTACTGATGTCAACATTGTGCTTTTTAGTATTTCGTGTAAGTTTGGGGATTTGAAGATTTGGATGATTGGAGGAATGGTTGGGGATTTGAAGGTTTAGGAATTTAAATATTTATAAATTAGTGAATTTGAAAATTTGGGAAGAGTATTGATCAAATACTAGTTTCTGACCGTCAGCATCAATAACTGCTATTTTGTTTTGCAGCGTAAGCATTAAAGTCACCGGAGTTCATTGCATAGTCGAATTCGAAGGCATTGAAATCACCGGCAACGACACTGTTTTACCGACTGAGTTATCATTCGGTTAGTGACATTCTTAAATTATTGAATTGTAAAATTCTTGAATTTTTATGTTCCAAAGTTCTCAAAACCCCAAATTCCTGAATCCATAAATTTATACACCCTTAAATTCCTAACTCGCCCAATTCCACAAATTGTCAAATTCTCAAATTCCCAAATCTTTAAATTGCCAAATTCTCAAATCCCCAAATTCTCAAGTTCCCAGATCTTCAAATCCCCAAATTCTCAAATTCCCAAATCTTCAAATCCCCAAATTCTTAAATCCCCCAACCTCTCAAATTCACAAATCGTCAAATCCCTAAATTCTCAAATCCCCAAAATCTCAAATCCCCAAATTCTCAAACACCCAAACTTTCAAATCCCCAAATTCTTAAATCCCCCAACCTCTCAAATTCACAAATCGTCAAATCCCTAAATTCTCAAATCCCCAAAATCTCAAATCCCCAAATTCTCAAACACCCAAACTTTCAAATCCCCAAATTCTTAAATCCCCCAACCTCTCAAATTCACAAATCGTCAAATCCCTAAATTCTCAAATCCCCAAAATCTCAAATCCCCAAATTCTCAAACACCCAAACTTTCAAATCCCCAAATTCTTAAATCCCCCAACCTCTCAAATTCACAAATCGTCAAATCCCTAAATTCTCAAATCCCCAAAATCTCAAATCCCCAAATTCTCAAACACCCAAACTTTCAAATCCCCAAATTCTTAAATCCCCCAACCTCTCAAATTCACAAATCGTCAAATCCCTAAATTCTCAAATCCCCAAAATCTCAAATCCCCAAATTCTCAAACACCCAAACTTTCAAATCCCCAAATTTTTAAATCCCCCAAGCTCTCAGATTCTCAATCTTCCAAATCTCCAAATTCTCAAACCTTCAAAACCCCCAAATTCTCTCCCATTCCTCCACACACAATTCCTCCAACTATTCACCTCACCTCCCTCCCTCAAAACCCAGTCACCGTCCAAGAATTCCTCAAATCTCTTCCAGAAACATCTACCTACCATTCTTACCACGAAGAAAATTAACAGAGAACTTAGAGTTTTGTTCTTCTGTCAAGATAGCTGTTCGCCTTGAGAAGTTGACGGTCCCTGACCTCGCATTCTTATGGTGCACTCATGAACATCCTCAGGACGATTCTCATCGAGTCTTATCGATAATTTCCTTTTCTACAAAGTCGAACAAAAGAACGATATTAAAGATAACGGAATTCAAGTTGCAACAACTCTGTTAGAAATCGTTATCATGCTATTATGAATTCTGCAACCGTGTGAATGAAAGTATTACGGTTCGATTATCGTTATAACGATCGATCATGACCGATTCCGAGCGTGATCGTGTGTTACGGTGCTTATTAACGGTGCTTAACATTCTTTCCTAAGCGCGTTCGGTGACGTTTGTGTGAGGTGTACGCTTACTTTTTATGTACATGTAGCGGGTTTATCTAGGAACATTGATGGTGGAGAAAAAAGGTAATGAGAAGGAAAGAGATATAATGTTGAGTCGATTTTTGGGGCAGTTAAGTTTAGGGATCTTTGAAGGTTCATTTTTGGAATTGTGGGACTTGAGGTGGAGGTTTTAGAATTTGGTGATATAGGAAATTTGGGAATTTGAGAATTTGTGGAATTCGGGGAGTTAGAAATTCAAGGGTGTATAAATATGGGGATTTAGGAATTCTGGGATTTAGATGTTTTGGATTTTTGAAAATTTGGAGATTGAAAGTTTGAGATTTTGAAAATTTAGAGATTTAGGAATTCGGGGTTTTAAGAATTTGGAGATTTAGATGTTTTGGATTTTGGAAAATTTGGAGATTTAGGAATTTGAGGATTTAAAGTTTGGGATTTTGAGAATTTCGAGATTTAGGAATTCGGGGTTTTAAGAATTTGGAGATTTAGATGTTTTGGATTTTGGAAAATTTGGAGATTTAGGAATTTGAGGATTTAAAGTATGGGATTTTGAGAATTTGGAGATTTAAGAATTTGGAAATTTGAGAATTTGAATATATGAGAATTTAGTAAAATAAGAATTTGGACATTTGAAACACGTGAAGACTTTAAAAAATACATTTTAAAATTTGGTAGTTTATTGACAATTATCAACAGTACAATATCTATTCAATATATACAATATCTAAATCTAAAATACATAAATTTAAATACATATAGAGCATTTACTACTCTTAAATTCATGTATACATTCAAAATATAAAAACTACATTATCCTTGTCGTACTATGAGTATTATAATTAAAATGGTTTAAAGTTTTATAATGTTTCTTTGATCACAAGGAGATTCTTGTGAAGTCCATCATGTGGTACATTTAAACAATTGTATTGTATATCTTATAGTACCTATTACAATATTGCATTATTTGCACATTAATCAAGCAAAATAAAAGTTTAACAAGTTTAAAATTCTAAACACAGTTTTCTTCTTTCTAACATATGCAATTACTATTTACATGTTTATAAAATTGTAAATAAACAGTGTCTATATGATAATATTATTAGTTAATATACTAAATTAATATTTTCACATTGAATAAAAGGTATTTTTAGTTCGTGAAGTATTTTGATTCTCTTAGAGTATCATTCTTTAGACATGAATGCTTGAAAATAGAATTTAAGGGTTAATTGTTTAGTTTGGATCATGTAAATTACTGTGCTTGTTGAACTATTATTTATCTGACAAATCAATATAATTTCATTAATTTATCAATTAAAGTTAGTAGTTTATATGTGATATCAGTTACTTTTTCTTTACTCATTGAATTAAATAGCAATTTCATCAATGATTTTCTTAAATAATTTCCTTCGTTCATTTAATCAGATGATAGTGCTATGAATAATTGTTATGAATGTTAATTTTTACAAACAAAGTCTCTAGTTTTGTCTAATCAGACGATATTTTTATCGCTAATTTTCATAAATAATTTCATAATATTCCTCACTCTTAATTCTTATAATATTCCTCATTCATTTCTCAGAAATTACACATATACAATTTTGAGAGTAAAATTTTACAAATACTCAAATAACAAAGTAATTCCCAAATACTAAAAATAGTAATGTTTCTCAAAAAACCACTAACTTAATAATTTCAATCTGAAAACACAATTTTATCATACAACCATGATCCAACAATCCCTCAATTCATTTTCCAAAGCATCACAAAACAATTTACAAGAAGTTTAACTAAACTCAAGGCTTAGGTTTGATAATTTTATCAAAAGGGAAATTACGGAAAGCGTTTCCAAAAATTTCCGTAAACGCAGTGGAAACGAGATCATTAATCAACCGCCTAGTCATCACGAATCCCGGTTGCCAAGCTCCATTAATTATCTTGTCAAGAATATCTTCGAGGATTTGTCGGCCAAATAATAAATTTGTTATGTGGAGCTTTAGGTCTCGGATCGTTTGAACGTCGACGCTGACTGTTATCTTCTGTCCGGGTCTTCTTGTCACTGTGGTTGTTTGGATGAGGTCATCTAAAATGAACAAATAAGAAACATTTAATTTCAAACACTTATTTAAATCTTTTCTTTTATTGCATATAGGTTTATTTATACCTGTGATGATGTCTAAATTTAATACATAAGAAATCTTAAATTGAAAAAATGCAAATTAATTGTTGTAATAGGTTTATTTATACCTGTGATGATGGCTGAATTTGATACATAAGAAGTCTTAAATTGAAAAAATGCAAATTAATTGTTGTAATAGGTTTATTTATACCTGTGATGATGGCTGAATTTGATACGTAAGAAGTTTTAAATTGAAAATGAAAATTACTTTTTGTAATAAAATAAGAATGACTTTGAAATGACAAATATATTTGTTTATTTAAGAATGCATTTAATAATTAATATATTATTATATATTATAATATTTTTATATTTCTGTTACAAAAATTTGTTCTTTTTTAATTTGTCATTATAAATGTCATTTCAAGTTACGTTTGATGAAACTTACACAGAGCTAATGTGAATTTTCCTCGGTTGCTGACGCTGGAGCCAAACATGTTTCCTTTAAACTCGTACAAACCGGATAGAAATTTTGCTGGGAAACTCTGGGTATATACCACCTGAAATTCAATCACCAAAATATATAAAATCTTGATAATTAATAAGCACATATACTTTTTTCAAGGAGTACAAATTGTGGATTTCTAAAATCTCAACTTTTGAAGTTTCTGAATTTCTAAATTAGCAAATTTTCAAATTCTTAAATTAGCAAATTTCTAGATTTGCACATTCTCAAATTTAAAAATTACTAAGTTACCAAGTTTCCAAATTCCAAATTTTCATATTTCCATAATTCCAAATTTCCAAATTTCCATATTTCTATAATTCCAAATTTCTACCTTCTCAAATTCCAAAATTGCCAAGTCAATAAATCTTCAAATTCCAAATCCCCCATTTTCTACTTCCAAAAATCCCCAAATTCCCTATTTTCTGCTTCCAAAAATCCCCAAATCCCTCATTTTCTACTTCCAAAAATCCCCAAATTCTAAATCCCCAATCTCCTATTTTCTGCTTCCAAAAATCCCCAAATCCCTCATTTTCTACTTCCAAAAATCCCCAAATTCTAATCCCCAAATTCCCTATTTTCTGCTTCCAAAAATCCCCAAATCCCTCATTTTCTACTTCCAAAAATCCCCAAATTCTAAATCCCCAATTTCCTATTTTCTGCTTCCAAAAATCCCCAAATTCCCTATTTTCTGCTTCCAAAAATCCCCAAATCCCTCATTTTCTACTTCCAAAAATCCCCAAATTCTAAATCCCCAATCTCCTATTTTCTGCTTCCAAAAATCCCCAAATCCCTTATTTTCTACTTCCAAAAATCCCCAAATTCTAAATCCCCAATCTCCTATTTTCTGCTTCCAAAAATCCCAAATTCCCTATTTTCTGCTTCCAAAAATCCCCAAATTCCCTATTTTCTGCTTCCAAAAATCCCCAAATTCCCTATTTTCTGCTCCCAAAAATCCCCAAATCCCTTATTTCCTCCTTCCAAAAATCGCCAAATTCCAAATCCCCAATCTCCTATTTTCTGCTTCGATAAATCCCTAAATCCTCAAATTCGAAAAATGTCCTGCTTCTAAAAATCCCCAAATTCTCAATTTCCAAAAATGTCCTGCTTCCAAAAATCCCAAATTTTCAACTTCCAAAAATCTCCAAATTACACTTCCTAATTGAAGAAAGAATTTATTAATGAACCCTATAAACATAAAATAAAAAATTTTCTTTCAATAGTATGTATATGTTTGATTATCTATGTATAAACAAGTTAAGCAAGAAGTAAAAATATTTGTACCTTGTAGTTTGACAAGTCGCTGACAAATTTCGTCACCTTGCTAGCCGTCCATCCACTTTCAGTGACGTTCTTTAATGTTATTGTGAACCCAAAATTCGGCATTCCTCTTGTTACTGATACTTCCTTAGCAAAAAATGGATCGAACGGAGCTACATTATATTGTGGAAGACCTGTTTTGAAGTATGGTCGAATCGCATTTAATGCTTCTCTTATGCAGCCGTCGAATCCTGGCACGTTTGGATGGCAATCCTTGAAGTGTTCCTCTGAAAACAAAAAACAAGTTTTAGGAAAACGTATAAATAAGATGGCGGAAAACATAATACAACTTGCAAATTATATTTTTCCTTTTAAAAGAAGAAGTAATAAAAATGATTAAAATTATAAAAATTATAAAAATGATAAAATTTATGAAATTTATAAAAATTATTAAAATTATAAAAATTATAAAAATTATAAAAATTATAAAAATTATAAAAATTATAAAATTTATGAAATTTATAAAAATTACAAAAATTATAAAAATGATAAAATTTATGAAATTTATAAAAATTATCAAAGTTATCAAAATGTAAAAATAAGAATAATTTGTTGTGTTAGGTTTTTAACAATAAATGTAAGAACTCAGTGCATGTATTTTATAAATAATTTAACTTGTATTTGGCTTTGTATAAAAATATTGATTGAGCATGAAATTTTAACTAATTAATTGAAATTATAGACATGTATTGTAATTAATTTGTGTAGTTAATATTATTAAACTAATATTATTTTTGTTATAATTTTTAAATAAAAGAGTTATAAGAATGCAAGTATAGAACTTCGAAAAGTGAAGAAGAAGTACAAAATAACTTAAGTATAATGCTTTTCTTGGAATGCGAGAAACAACAAAGCAATGACTCTGAAGGTTCAAGGATTCCATCCTTTTCTAAAACCTTGGAAGTCTATTTTGCCTGTTTTCCTCATAGAATTTTCAGACACGAACAAAAACGTAAAAGGTTTTATCTTTTACTCTTGTGGTTGGATCTTGATGCACTTAATTCTGTGACAGTGACATATTACAGAATGAATCCTTAAGTGAAAAATATTATTCACAAAATTTGCATATGAACTGCAAAATAAAAATTAGACATTAAATTCACGTTTAAAGATTGTAAACATACAATTAAATCTAATTAAACATTTAATTATATAATTAAATATCAACATATAATTAAATTCTAGTTTAAACAAAATGTAATTAGATTCTTATTTAATCAATAAATAACTGAATTCTAGTTTAATAAAAAAATAATTAAATACAAGCAGAAGCAGAAATGATAGCAGGACAAAATTTAAAACTATTTAAATAACCACTAAAAACAAATACAAAAAACATAATAATTATATATTTATAAATGTTATTATTACACAAAGGTACAGCAAAGTGCAATAATCACAGTGTAACTTTAATTGAAGTGTAAAATTTAATTACAAGAAAAGAGGAGAAACAATTTGTTCAAACTCAATAGGTATTTTACACTTCACTACCACTGATACAATTTCTTTTTTAAAACACTAGTTTGTTCCAAATGATAGCAGCACACAATTTTAAATTATTTAAATAACCACTAAAAACAAATACAAGAAACATAATAATCAAATAATTATAAATGTCACTATCAAACAAAGGCACAGCAAAGTGTAATAATCACAGAGTAATATAAAATTTAATTGCAAGAAACGTGAAACAATTTGTTCAAACTCAATAGGTATTTTACACTTCCCTACCTGATTTCGCTACACCTGATGCAATTTCTTTTTTAAAACACTACTTTATTCCAAATGATAGCAGCACACAATTTTAAATTATTTAAATAACCACTAAAAACAAATACAAGAAACATAATAATCAAATAATTATAAATGTCACTATCAAACAAAACTACAGCAAAGTGCAATAATCACAAAATAATATAAAATTTAATTGCAAGAAACGTGAAATAATTTGTTCAAACTCAATAGGTACTTAACACTTCCCTACCTGATTTCACTACACCTGATACTGTTTTATTAAAACACTAGTTTGTTCCAAATGATTGCAGCATATGGGAACAGACAATGGGAAACAAGCCTAATGAATAATTAACATTGAATACTGTACACTGAAAGTCTCTGTCTCTTTATGCCAACAGTCTGATTACGATCATCTTGAATTCCTTGAGAACTATCCGCTTGCGCAATTCACATTCTATTACGTTGCAACATGCATATGCATTGTTCGATAGAAATTTATTGTATCGATAAGATTTATGCGATTATAATTGACAGTTCGATGAACAATTTTTTGCACTTCGTTTAATTCTTGTAATGTTACTTTGTTTCAGTCTTTTTTTCTTTTTAACTTGTTAAGCTATTTCTTGTTAACTTATTTTTTTAATTTCTTTGTATTTTTATTTTGTTATATGGTAATTTTAAAATTAATAAACTTGCAGAAATTTTTGTAGTGAATGACGTTTTCAAATTTAATTGTATTTGTAATATTTAATTTAATAGGAGAACAAAATAAATTCTGATTCAAATAAAATCCAATTAAGTGCTAACTTAATGAAATTAAATGTAAATTTAATTAGAATCGAATTAAAAATAATTAAATTTAAAATTTAATTTAAAAATAAAATAAACAAGAATACTGCAATATTTAATTTTTCATTTTATAATTGAGTATAACTATTTAGTATTATTAATGAAAGTGTTAAAATGCATCTACTAAACCAGTAGCAACATAATTAATTTATGATAATTTCTTTAATATATTTCGTTGAAATAGAGGTGAGTTAGGGTCATATATGGTGAAAGTTAACGTTGTCGTATTCCGTGGAAATATTTTGACCAGATTCTGTCGAAACTTTCGTTCGCGTAACGTGGTGAGATGTTACGTGAGAGATGCTAGGAATGATTGAAGTACACGAGTCAATGACAATAAAGGATTAAGTAACTTGTGGAACGGAGATTTGGTAATAGAGACATTAGCAAGCTACTAATTTATGTCATTTATGGTGTTAACAATCTACTCACTTCTCATTAGTCTACTCATTTATAGTAATTTTGTTATATTAATATGTCAAAAGAGTTGAAACAGTGTTGTTTAGTAAGAGTGAATAGTCTACTCATTTATATTATACTACTCAATTATTATAATTCTACTCAAGTATCATTCTACTCAACAATTCTACTCAACCTAAAAAATCTATTCAAAGTTAAAGTATACGTCAAGGTTCTACTCATTTATATTGTACTACTCAATTATTATAATTCTACTCGAGTGTCATTCTACTCAACAATTCTACTCAGCATACAAAATCTACTCAAAGTTAAAGTAAATCTTCAACGTTCTACTCATCTGTATTATTTCAAGAATTAACGTATCTAGAATTAACATCGATCATAGTATTAATATGTGAATGATGTACGAACTTATGTCATCAGTCTACTCATATCGAAAGCTTACTCATCTGAGTCACTCTAATCATTCACAGTCAACCTAACCTAACAGTCTACTCATCTACGTCTCTCTAACTGTCCACATACTCTAATAACTGTTCACATACATAAGTAATACTCTCCTCATCTGTATTACGTTAACTACTCGTCAACAGACCACTCACATGCATCACCCTGAGTAGTCATATATGGACAATCTACTCATCTACATACTCAAACTATTCATATATCAAGACTCTACTCATTAGCATCAGCTGAACTGTTCGTATATTAACTATCTACTCATCTACATACTCGAACTACTCATACATCAAGAGTCTACTCATTTGCATCAGCTGAACTGTTCGTATATTGACAGTCTACTCACCTGTATCATCCTAACTGTTAAAATATTAATAATCCACTCAGCTGCAGACTCTAACTGTTCATGTATCATCAGTCTACTCATTTGCATCAGATTAACTATTCATGTATGAACAGTCTACTCATTTACATCATCTTAACTACTCATGTATTGAGAGACCACTCATATGCATCGTCCTAGCTGTTCTTATATCAATACTACTCATCTGGATCACCTCAACTTGTCATTTACTGACAGTCTACTCACTTGCATCGGCTTAGGTGATCTTATATTGACAGTCTACTCATTTGCATCACTCTAACTAGTCATACATCAACAGTCTACTCATCTGGATCACCTCAACTTGTCATATATTGACAGTCTACTCACTTGCATCAGCTTAGGTGATCTTATATTGACAGTCTACTCATTTGCATCACTCTAACTAGTCATACATCAACAGTCTACTCATTTGCATCACTCTAACTAGTCATGCATCAACAGTCTACTCATCTGCATCATCTCAACTTATTATATATTGACTGTTCACTCATTTGCATTAGCCTAGCTGGTGTTATATTGACAGTCTACTCATTTGCATTACTCTAGCTACTCAAATACCATAAGTCTACTCATCTGCGTCAGCTTAACTTGTCATATATTGAATGTTCACTCATTTGCATTAGCCTAGCTGGTCTTATATTGCCAGTCTACTCATTTGCATTACTCTAACTACTCAAATACCATAAGTCTACTCATCTGCGTCAGCTTAACTTGTCATATATTGACTTTTCACTCATTTGCATTAGCCTAGCTAGTGTTATATTGACAGTCTACTCATTTGCGTTACTCTAACTACTCAAATACCATAGGTCTACTCATCTGCGTCAGCTTAACTTGTCATATATTGACTGTTGACTCATTTGCATCAGCTTAGCTAGTGTTATATTGACAGTCTACTCATTTGGATCACCTCAACTTATTATATATTGACTTTTCACTCATTTGCATTAGCCTAGCTGGTCTCATATTGACAGTCTACTCATTTGCATTACTCTAACTACTCAGATACCATAAGTCTACTCATCTGCGTCAGCTTAACTTGTCATATATTGACTGTTCACTCATTTGCATTAGCCTATCTGGTTCCATATTGATAGTCTACTCATTTGCGTTACTCTAACTACTCAAATACCATAAGTCTACTCATCTGCGTCAGCTTAACTTGTCATATATTGACTGTTGACTTATTTGCATCGGCTTATCTCCTCTCATATTGACAGTCTACTCACTTGGATCACCCTAACCAGTCAAATATCAACAGTCCACTCATTTGCATCACTCTAACTAGTCAAATACCAACAATCCACTCATTTGCATCTCCCTAACTAGTCAAATACCAACAGTCTACTCAGCTGTATCAACAATCTTGCCACCTACATCTCTCCAACCATCAACCCACCCACATTCCACTCTCCCGCATCATCCAAACCACCAAATCATCCACACCATACTCAACAAACCCAACAAAAAACTAAACTCCCTGCCAAAAGTACATAACCTAAACACACTCTGCGTCTCTCCAATGCAGCCTTCCCTCAAACAAGGTGCAACAAATAACTCAGTTGCCATTCACTCACCGAATTCCACAGCGAAATTTCCGCAAACGACCACCAGTAATACCAGAATCGTCGATCTCATTTTCTTTTTCGGTCGAAGGGAACACGAGTACAGCAAGGTTCTAACGCGTCCGATGAACACGAGGAACGTAATTCCAGCAACAACACGCGAGCGATGCTTGCGCTTTCACTCTCGAGCATACATCTGAGAGAACCATTAACCGAGTTGCGTTTCTGTGCCAGGATTTTCGATCGCCCTTACATAATATGGCCGGAACACGGGGGAGATCACCTTCTCATGAAACCAGCTACAGCGATAAAAGATTGTCCCTCCCCGTGGAACGTTTTCACGATACTGTTTCTCCATGCCTTGGTTCCGCTGAATAACTGGTCAGAGTTTCCTGCTTTGGACGAGGAGTTCGAAGGATATTTTGTTACGGAAATGGCGGCGACATTGGGAATCGTGATTTAACGGCGACGTGTGATTCATTGTTGCAGGTGCGTTGTTGGGATGAGGAAGCGGAGGTTTATGGATTGGTGAGGTGATGTGATGGAAATTGAGAGAATTTGAGAGAATTTGAGGAAATGTGGAGGGAACTGTAGGGAGAAACTAGGGAAGTGGAGGAAGTTGTAGGGATAAGGAAGAGGGAGGCTGGAGAGATTAGCTAAAGAGAAGAAGACTAATTTGGGGTAGGTACTTTTCAGATTTTGGGATTTTGGAATATTGGAATTTTGGGATATTTGAAAGTTTGGGACTTTGCAAGATTGGAACTTTGGAATTTTAGGACTTTGCAAATTTGGGACTTTGGAGTTTTGGCACCTTGCAAGTTTGAGACTTTGGAATATTGGGACCTTGCAACCTTAGGACCCTGGAATTTTGGGACTTTGCAAATTTGGAACTTTAGAACTTTGGGACTTTGGAATTTTGGGAACTTGCAAATTCAGAACTTTGGAATTTTGGGAACTTGCAAATATGGAACTTTGGAATTTTGGGGCCTTGCAAGTTTGGGACTCTGGAATTTTGGGGCCTTGCAAGTTTGGGACTCTGAAATTTTGGAACTTTGCAAGTTTGGGACTCTGGAATTTTGGGGCCTTGCAAGTTTGGGACTCTGAAATTTTGGGACTTTGCAAGTTTGGGACTCTGGAATTTTGGGGCCTTGCAAGTTTGGGACTCTGAAATTTTGGGACTTTGCAAGTTTGGGACTCTGGAATTTTGGGGCCTTGCAAGTTTGGGACTCTGAAATTTTGGGACTTTGCAAGTTTGGGACTCTGGAATTTTGGGGCCTTGCAAGTTTGGGACTCTGAAATTTTGGGACTTTGCAAGTTTGGGACTCTGGAATTTTGGGGCCTTGCAAGTTTGGGACTCTGAAATTTTGGGACTTTGCAAGTTTGGGACTCTGGAATTTTGGGGCCTTGCAAGTTTGGGACTCTGAAATTTTGGGACTTTGCAAGTTTGGGACTCTGGAATTTTGGGGCCTTGCAAGTTTGGGACTCTGAAATTTTGGGACTTTGCAAGTTTGGGACTCTGGAATTTTGGGGCCTTGCAAGTTTGGGACTCTGAAATTTTGGAACTTTGCAAGTTTTGGACTCTGGAATTTTGGGACCTTGCAAGTTTGGGACTTTGCAAGCTTGGGACTCTGTAATTTTGGGACCTTGCAAGTTTGAAACTTTGTAAGATTGGGACTGTGGAATTTTGGGACTTTGGAATTTTGGGACCTTGCAAGTTTGGGACCTTGCAAGTTTGGAACTCTGTAATTTTGGGACCTTGCAAGTTTGAAACTTTGCAAATTTGGAACTTTGGAATTTTAAGGCATTGGGACTTCAAGATTTTGGGACTTTGGATTTTTGTACTCTTGATACATTGGAATATTGAGACTCTGGATCTTCAAAGCTTTAGAACATTAACGTTTTGAAATATTAGCATTTTGAGACTTTTGACCACAAAAATATTAGTACTTTAAGACTTTGAAGCTTCAAACCTTCATAACTTTGCAATTTTTAAAATTACTATAACTTCGAATTCTTCTAAAGGAAATACAAAAAGTACCTTAGAACTCAGGTAAAATCCAAGCAACTCAAAAAGAAAAATCGAAGACCACATAATCTAAATCTTGCCACTATTTTTTAATTCTAAAAACTTGTCGACATTATACCCATCACTACTACCATTCATCATATCCCAACACTTTAGTACGTGTATTTAACATTATTTATTATTAATATACTAATCTATAAATATGTATAACAGTCTAATACAAATTAAATACATCATGTACTTCTCATGATTTATTACAATATCCTTAATAGCCGTGAGAACATTATACAAAACAGAGATCAACTTCCCCGTACCCTGAAACAAGCTAATTGTACCTTAATTGCACGGCGATACACATTTATCAAAGACGTCCACACTTTCTTCCGTTAAAGAAGAACATTACACGCCACTCTAAAATATAAAGACTCGAATCTGTAACTTTTACAAAAACAAAATAAAAAAGTTACTCGGTAGCAGTTAATTTACAGGTGGTGTCAAGTACGCATACCTCGTAACATTTGAGCAGGCGAAAGTTTCTTATATAATGCACGCAATTATACGATACTGCATTTTGATCAAATTTAATTAAAAAAAGAAACAGGAATATTTTTTTTATGAAACTTTTTTATAAAATTGTAGAGTAAATATATAATTTCACAATTCTTGAAAAAATTGTTGTTAGTTTAGGAACACAAGTGCGAAAGTATTTAATAAACTTTTAAATGGATGAGTGAATGATTTTCAATCTGGCGACGCCTTTCTGTAGATAACCAAACGTACGGCAATGTAGAAAGGATTGTACAACTTTCACGAGGCCATTCATAATGGTCGATTCACAAATAGAGAGATGGTGATATTATGGTACATATACCAAGATTGAATTTTACAATTTTTTAAAGTGAATTTTGGAAACTGGAATTTTGGGAATTTAGGAAATTTAGGAATTTTGGGGTGTTGAAGTACTGACTTTGGTGATTTGGAAGTTGAGGATTTATGAATTTTGGGAATTTTTGGAATTTTGAGAAATTTGAGAACTTAGGGAATTTTGGGAATTTAGAAATTTTGATAAATTTAGGCATTCTGGAAATTTTGGGAATTTAGGCCATTTGTAAAATTTAGGAATTTCCAGAAATTTGGGAAATTCGGGAATTTTTAGAATTTTGGGGAATTTGAGAAATTAGCAATTTTGGAAATTTGGAACTTTGTGATTATTTAATGGAGTACTGACACTTTAGTAATTTGATAATTAGGGAATTTGGGGAATTTAGAAAATTTGGGAAACTTGGGAAATTTAGGAATTTATAAAAATTGGAAAATTTGGGAATTTTAGGAAATGTGGGAAATTTGCAATTATGGGAATTTAGGAATTCAGAGAATTTGGACTCTGAGAGCTCAAAATTTTGAAAGTTTGAGACATTAGAAATTTGGAACTTTGCAAGTATAGGACTTTGAGAATTTGGAACTCTGAGGAATTGAGACTTTGCAATTTTGGAATTTTGGAATTTTGGGACTTTGCAAGTTTGGAACTTTGCAAATTTGGAACATTAGAATTTTGGGACTTTGCAAATTTGGGACCTTGCAACCTTAAGACTCTGGAATTTTGGGACTTTGCAAGATTAGAACTGTGGAATATTGGGACTCTGCAATTTTGGGACTTTGCAAGATTGGGACTGTGGAATTTTGGGACTTTACAAATTTTGGGACTTTGGAATTTTGGGACCTTGCAAGTTTGGAACTCTGTAATTTTGGGACCTTGCAAAGTTGGGACTTTGCAAGATTGGGACTGTGGAATTTTGGGACTTTACAAATTTTGGGACTTTGGAATTTTGGGACCTTGCAAATTTAGAACTCTGAAATTTTGGGACCTTGCAAATTTAGAATTCTGAAATTTTGGGACCTTGCAAGTTTGGGACTTTGCAAGATTGGGATTGTGGAATTTTGGGACTTTACAAATTTTGGGACCTTGCAAGTTTGAAACTGTGGAATATTGGGACTTCGCAAATTTGGAAACTTGCTAGTTTGAAACTCTGCAAATTTGGAACTTTAGAATTTTTTAACCATAAGGCCTCAAAACTTTATAATATTAAAACTCTATAAATTTGATACTTTATAAGTCCAAAAACCTTGAAAGTTAAACCAAAAATAACCTAATAAACCTAATACCAATCTCCTAGACAATCCACAAACCACACCTCACAAACAGGTACCCCAAAATAACATCCCCAAAACAATAAAAACAAACTCCATCAAAAGTACCTCCATAAACCATAAAATGCATAAGACCAATTACAAATAATAATCCAACACGACCTCCATTTTCCCATAAACTTCTATAAAAACGAAAGGAAATAATCGATCTGCAGCATCTAAGATAAAAATAGTGGCTTGCAACACAACATAACACGTCGTATATAAAGATAGCATAGTAGTTGCAGCATTTCAGTAGTCGATCCGCGACGAGATTGGAAAAGATCGAAGAGTATCTAGGATACTTTCGACCGGGTCTAAAATGGCCTAACAGAGACTCGTCTGTCTTCCCAGACGAAGAAGGCGCAGGTGCACGTTGCAGCAGTGAAAGTATCCGAGTGCAGTTACGATCTGGCATCTGTCAATGCCCTCTTGCACACTCGGTCTAACTCTTGCTGTGTAGTTTCGATTTCGACCCCGCTGGTCGAAAGTTCTTTTCTACGAATCTGAGTCTTTGTGTTGCAAAATTTGTAAATTTTTTATTTTGTATTTACTTGTATTTCGAAATTGCTGAATCCACGATTGTAGTAGAAGATTTTAGAGATTTGTAGTCACTGTGTTTGGGGAATTTGTAAATTTATAGTCGCTGTGTTGCAAGATTTTTGGATCCAAGGTTTCTGAATCCAAGATCACTGTATTCCAAATTTTATAAATTCAGAATTACTGTGTTCCAAGATTTTTGAATCCACAATCACTATATTTCAATATTTCTGAGGCTGCAATTATTGTGTTCTAAGATTTCGAAATCCACGATCATTGTATTCCAAATTTTATAAATTCACAATTACTGTGTTCCAAGATTTCTGAATCCACCATCACTGTGTTCCAAGATTTCTAAGACCACGATCATTGCAATCCAAAATTTCTGATTCCACAATTACTGTACTCCAAGATTTCTAAATCCACAATCACTGCGTTCAAAAATTTCTAAATCCACAATCACTGTGTTCCAAGATTTCTACATCCACAATCACTATATTCCAAGATTTCTACATCCACAATCACTATATTCCAAGATTTCTACATCCACAATCACCATATTCCAAGATTTCTACATCCAGAATCACTGTATTTCAATATTTTTGGGGTCCTAAACTGTATTCCATATTTGGAGTCTGAAAATCATAGTATTCCACGTTTTGGATTGTTGAAGTCAAGGTATTTGATGTGCTGAAGTGTTAAAATCACTATATTCTTTTAAAGATCCAGGACTATTACATTCCAAATTCTATATTCTATATTCAATCGTTGTAAAATCACTTGTTTCACATTCTAAAGTAGCAAAAACACTGTATTCTACATTCTAAAGTCCTAAAGTCACTGCATTCCATATTCTGCAGTTCTAAAGTCATAATAGTTCATATTCTAACATCACAAGTTATTAAATCATTATATTCCACGTTTTATCGTCTAAAAATCACTATATTCCACATTATCATTCTAAAGTCACTAAAATCCACATTTTAACACTCCAAAATTCTCAAGTCCCAAAATCACTATATTTCTATCACTTCAACTCCTGTTGCTACGTCCTGAATTTCCTAAAATCCAAAATTCTTAAGTTCCAAAATTTAACCTTGCAAAGTTTGATAATTTAAAAATTTCACGTTATAAGATTCTATTGTAAGACTCAAAACCTTCATATACAAACCTTGAAAATACAATAATTCTTATATCCCAAAATTGTTAAGATTGAAAACTCTAAAATTCCAAAATTCTAATAGCCTAACATTCAGTAGTTTCGATATTCTATAACCTTGAAACTGTGATATTCCATAGTACTTAAATCTACAAACTGTTATATCCCAAAATTGCAAAACTCCAAATCTCTAATTTACCATAATTTTGAAACTATAAATCTCTAATATTCCAAGATTGTAATATACAAATCTTTAAAATTCTATAATTCTCATAATCCAAATCTCTAAAATCCCAAGACTCTCATAACTCAAAGTCTCTAAAATCCCAAAACTCTCATATCTTAAATCTTGAGAACACTAGATCTTTAAAATCTCAAAACTCTCGCAACCCAAAATCCTAAAATCCCCAAACTCTCACAAACTCAAAATCTCTAATCTCCCCAAACTCTCACAAACTCAAATTTCTAATCTCCCCAAACTCTCACAAACCCAAATTTCCAATCTCCCAAAACTCTCACGCTCCAAATCTCTAAAATCCGCAAACTCCCACACTTCAAAATCTCTAAAATCCCCAAACTCTCACAAACTCAAATTTCTAATCTCCCCAAACTCTCACAAACCCAAATTTCCAATCTCCCAAAACTCTCACGCTCCAAATTTCTAAAATCCCAAAACTCTCACACTCCAAATCTCTAAAATCCCCAAACTCTCACAAACTCAAATTTCTAATCTCCCCAAACTCTCTCAAACCCAAATTTCCAATCTCCCAAAACTCTCACGCTCCAAATCTCTAATCTCCCAAAACTCTCACACTCCAAATCTCTAATCTCCCCAAACTCTCACAACCCCAAATCTCCAACCCCCCAAACTCTCACAAACCCAAATTTCCAATCTCCCAAAACTCTCACGCTCCAAATCTCTAATCTCCCAAAACTCTCACACTCCAAATCTCTAAAATCCCCAAACTCTCACAAACTCAAATTTCTAATCTCCCCAAACTCTCTCAAACCCAAATTTCCAATCTCCCAAAACTCTCACGCTCCAAATCTCTAATCTCCCTAAACTCTCACACTCCAAATCTCTAAAATCCCCAAACTCTCACAACCCCAAAACTCCAACCCCCCAAACTCTCACAAATCCAAATTTCCAACCCCGAAAACTCCCACACCCCAAAATCCTCTTCTCCCAAAACTCCCACACCCCAAATCTTCAAAATTCCAAAACTCTCACATCCCAAAATTGCAACCTCCAAAAATTCCAATTCCACTCCCACTCTTCCTAATCTTCCGCAAATCTCTAAATTCCTAAAACTGCAAAAGTGACCCCGGAGAGATCGCAAACCTCTCGAACGTATCTAACACAGCCAGTCTCCATTTTGATTTATTGGAGCCGCACCATGACCGAAGGAAGTTGGTTCTGTGTTCTGCTAATCGTCACCGGGGTAACAGCTCTCTCCGTGGATTCGAATCGTAAGTAATATCCATTTTTCGTAGACATTTATTTTAAACAATTTCCTGTCTCAACAGTTGGTTCGTTTCAGAGTCAAGTTTATAGAAAACTGCGAGTGAAAGTTCGATTGGGTCGATGGTTTTGTGTAATTTCATGTAGAAAGGGATTTCCGTTGACTGTTAGAGTTTGCTTTTTATTTAGATTTATTTGACGTTCTTGTTTGCTTTATTGGTTGGTTTTTGCTGAGTGGTGTAATGGGTTTTATTTAGTTTTGTTATTTTATTTATTTATGGGAATTTGACAATAACTGAAATTTTTGATTAGGTGAAGAGGTGAGAGGTTTTGAAGATTTATTTTGTAGTTGCAATTTTATTTTTTTTATTTTTTGTGGTTTTAACAAGGAAAATAAATGCAGGGAAATAAATAGGGTAATTTATGAATGGTTATTGTGAAGTGAACGAAGTCCCTAGATTTACTGATGTTATTAATTAGTATTTAGAAAAAACATGTAAAATGTACAGATTTGAAAGTGTTATTATTTTGTAACGCAGAAATCTGAACATTCTACAATTCAGAAACTTGAAAGTAAAGAGATGGTATTTGGGAAGTTGGAAATTTGAAACTCGACTAAATTACAATTTGCAAATTTGAAAATATTGAAACTTTGAAACTTTGAAACTTTGAAACTTTGAAACTTTGAAACTTTGAAACTTTGAAATTTTGAAATTTAGAATTGAGAAATTTGTGAATTCTAAAGTTTAGAATTTGAATAACATCAAAACGCAAAAATAAAATTTTGTAACATATTAAATTATTATTGAATTTTACGCGTTTTGAAAGAAGGTTTACACCAGAGAAGGTTAGAAACGTTACATAAATCTTTAAAGAGGTCAGTCGTGCAAATATCCTTCGTAAACTTCGAATTTCACAATACATGGTTATACATGACAAGCTGTCTAACAACTGGCGATTTTCGCTTGCTTCATTGCAATCTTTGCTCATTAATATCCTTTTTTTATAAAGTGTGTTTGAATGAAATGGAATGTTATTAATTTTTTACTGAATGTAGTACTTAATTATTCGTACATTATTTTCATATTTTATATTACATTACATTATTAATAATTTTTATAAGTACTGACAATTTATGTACGAACATAAATACAGATATAAATTGTGCATACTAAAATTGTTATTTTTGAAGAAAATTTAATAATCTGCAACAAGGTAACAAATTATAGTAAATTGAAATTAAAATTGAAATTAAAATATTAATAATAATAATTCATGTACTCATAGATTATTGTAATTGTTGACAAATTTAGCAAACTAATACAACGTAACAAATAATAAATTAATATTAATTAATTATTAATTAAGTTTGCATTTAGTTGGGGTTTAAATTTTATTATTGCATTTTTTTTTATTTTTTGAAGTCGACGAAGAGATTATTATTTATTTATCAAGATTTATTATTTATTTATCATATTATCATATTATTTTTATTTATTAAAAATACTATCTTTATTTATTAAAAATAATATGATAGTCTACTTGTTATAAATCATCATATTGTGTAAGTACAAATACATTACATTAGTAAAATGTGAAATAAAATAATATTGCACGTTAAATAAAAATAACATTAAATTTGCAACAATAATATAACCTAAAATACCATAAAGTAGGCAGATAAAATAAATAATTTTATTTGCAGCCGAATACGTGAAACAATGTTCAAGAAGCGATCCAAAGTTAAAAACTTGCCTGATCGATGCCCTGCACCATCTGAGGCCATATTTAAGCGATGGTATACCGGAAATTGAGCTGCCTTCCGTCGAACCATTTCGTGTAAGCTCTACAGCTTAATACTTCCTGTCTCGTTAATAGAATTATGTAGTTCCTTGACTTGCTTTCTATAAGTATCCTGCTTATCAAACTTTCCAATCAATGTTACATATTATCGACTCTGTTCTATTCTATTTATAATACACAAATCATTCATTTATTAATTTGATATTTTATTTATTCTATCAAGTTTATTTTATGTTTACAGCAAAGTTTACTTTTCTTCTCATTACACATACATATTATTTTACATCCTATATTTTACACTTTGAATTTACAACTTAAATAATATTAATTTTATACAAATCTAGCTTTTATGTAACAAATCTAAAATTGTCTCACTGATATCTTTCAAACTGTAATAAAATATAATGATGTTTTAATTCTTATAACGTGACAATTTATGTATAAATAATTATGTATACGACTTTATGTATGACTATGTATGAATATTGATTTATTTAAAAAATTCTGCACACAATACGTATCAGAGTTTGTTCAAAATATCACAAAAAATTGTTTATAACTGCAAATAAGTAGATGTATAAATATAAACAAGATTTATTCCAACTACATAAAGTTCCACAATCGACAAATAAAATATCAGGCCAAAATTAATTAAATTTCAAGACCAGCAAATGAGGTGTCAAGTCAGAGACAAGAACTTAACAAGTTATTTGGATAAGCACCCTTCCAGTTACATTCTGTTTGTTTCTGACAGATGGACGAGCTGACACTCTCCCTAACAGGTGGTATAAACGGTTACAAGGTTCAACTGCGCGAATTATACGTAAAGGGAGCCAGTAACTACACCGTCGAGGATATCAAGCTGGGTTCACCCTTCGCTGCCATTATACGAATGCCGGCTCTCATTTTGGACGCTCATTATTCCAGGTTCGCTATCAAAAACTTTTCTATTAAAAGATTAATACAAGCAACAATGATCAGATGGATTGACACGATGATTTACAAATGAAAAATTAAATAAGTCAAAAGGAGTTAAATAAATTTTCACTGTTAATCAGATAAATGTTTTATGAGAGTCTAAAATTTCAACGTAACAGTTCAGGTGTGCTGATCATTCTACCAGCTAGTGGAAACGGAACATTCCACGCGAAATTCGACGATGTGAAAGCTTTGGTCAAAGGCACTGTTTCCACCAAAGTGAAAGATGAGAAGACGTATCTGAACGTTGAAAATCTTGATGTTGAACTGGTTGTGAAAAATGTGTACATGAGGGTCAGCAAGATTTTCAAAAATAATAGAATCCTTAGTAAGTATAACGCTGACATAACCTAACTTTATTATATTATTGCATAAAAATGTTCAATTTCAATTGTTCTGTTCTTATGAATTACATAAAATATTTATGAAATGTTTATGGAGACGTTAATATCATTTTTTATTATAATTTTAAGTGTGAAGAGAACGGCGCAGACATTTTGTCCAGGTCGTAATACAAAATGGCTGACAGTAATCGAAAATATGCTACTTCGAAACTTACTAAGTTTGATACAATTTTCATGACATAAAAGTTTTACAAAATGGTGCTTGCGATACATCAATTTAAAGCTTGAAGTCCACAGAAAATAACTGTGTAAAGCGTTCATAAATATTGTTAACTCAAACTAATTAATTATCAAAAAGTTTCATGAATTACTCTGATTGTCTTTTATATGCAAGAAGTAAGATGGTTATTTAAGGATTAACAATTTTATTTAAAAAATCTGAACGAAATAATTATACAATAATTTTCTATGAACCTCAAGCTTTAAATTGATGTAACATAAGCACAACTTTGCTATAGTTTTATGTCATTAAATTATTGCAGACGTTGAAGGTTTCGAAATCGATCAATGTTTGCTGTATCTGTCGGCCATTTTGTGTTGGATATGAGAATATTAATAAAATGCCTGCACAGCTATTTTCAATGAATCTTTACCTTTAATTTCATGTACCACAACTGTTATTTTAATATAATTTTATAATTTTAAATGAGATCTGACCTTTTAAATGTTCGTTTTTTAACAACAATGATGTAACACTATTTCGTTTAATATTAATATCGAATAATTATTTACAGCCGAAGCAACAAACCTATTTCTCCGCGAAAACGGTCAGGAGGTGTTAAAGGTGATGGAACCACAGCTCAAGAGGAAATTATCTGTACTCTTCGCTGGTATAGTTAATCAACTGTTACGTCACATACCGGTCGAAGTATTTCTCTTACCATAAATATTCTTTCTTCAAAGCACTTCAATATTTCTACGAAAATTCACCAGTACAAGCTAAGTTGTAAATAGAGTTAGGACACACCAATAACTTTGGGTATATTGCAGGATTAACCAAAAATGTAACTGATGTAGCAATCGAGTTTATAGAGTAGAACAAATACATGTTTGTGTACATATGTGTAATACCGTTGTCTTTTATTTACTAGACCGTACGTACTTGACGCAATGCTTATGCAACGTCTTGCAGAATAAAAATTATAGCGTGAAAAATATGCGAGCATTTAATGGAATTATTCTGAGACTTTCGCTTGTGTTTCATAAATTCTAAGATTAAATTTACTTGGCATTTTTTATGGAAAATATTAACATATAATTGCTGTGAGAAAATTTCTTATTTCTTTATTCGTACACTATTTTTAGTTTGAAAGAAATTTATGAATACAATTAGTGAGAGTTTAAAAATAAAATTTACAAAGAACTGTAAATTTTTATTTATTAAAAGAAAGTAAAGTAATAAGTTTTGAATAAAATTTAAATTTAATATTTCTTCTAATAACGACAGACTCTCGCTATATTGCCACAAAGGAAGCAGAAGAAACTTTTGAAATAAAGGTCATTTTTAGAAATAAATACAAGCTGCTAATTTTCATTTGTACAAAATAAAATAAAATTTGACACGTTCGTAATTTTTCTACTTAGCAAAAATTATAAAACGAAACACCCTGACGTCTAAAAAAATTTATGGTTATTAAAAAAATTAATTTTAAAGTATAAAAGCAAGGTCTTAACGTGTGATACTGGTTCTTTATTTCACTCATACTTCTATAACAAAAACAATAAATTGTTTCAACAACATACATTCTTTGTTAATATAAAAAAGAACAGCTGGAAGAACTTAAATGTTAAATTTTACGAAAGTCTCTACAAAGTTTGTATTATAAAACGTTCTTCGCTTCTTTCTTGCTCCTTCGAAGGATCCTTTGATCCTCAGTCGCTTCTTCGGTTTATTTGAATTATTTTCGAACTATTAACTCGTGGTTCAAGGGAACACGGTGGAGAATGGTATTTTCGAGAAGAAACGATTAGTGAACTCGGTTAGGTATTCGTCCCAGAGCTCCATCATCTTCGGCATCATTCCACGGAACACCACTGGCCAGTATTCGTTGATGAAGATCAACGCTGCACGATCTAAACATTAAATATTTTTATTTTAATTAAAGGTATTGACACTATGGAGTCTCAAGATGAATCATGGTGAAATAATTAAATGTGAAGTTATTCAAACTTTTAATTATTTCAGTATTCGACATTGGAAAACTCTGATATTTTTTTATTATAGAATACAATAAAAATGTAGTAAAATATGTAAATACTAAGCAGAAATATTGTTACACTGCTAATTCATAAATTAGTAATAATAATTTGAACAATCAGTAATTATTTGTGGAGTCCTCAGTAAGACGCACCAGGTGCGTCATCAGATGTATACATTACGTGTATATTTCAATGTAATTTTCTCAAAAATTAATAATACTAATACCATGGATTCTATCCACTCTATGAATCAGTATTCGTTACTACGATGCTAGTACTACAACTACAACATGAATTGAAAAATACTAATTAATCTTAAGTCACAGATCACGTAATAGTTTTGCAGTATTACGAGACATGGAATGAGCGATGTTACAGAGACGAAAACGCTAACAAATGACAGACATGCATAAGGATTGCATGTTAATTAGATAGCACAGGATTTTCTTGAAATGCCGGTAACTCGACTACCCATGCGTATACGGCAACACAATATTATGTAATGACAGGATTAATAGGAGGTTCAAGTAATGAAAGTATCGTACCGATTCTAGGTGATTACCTTAAGTAAACAGTAAATCACTATTCGTAGTTTGTATTATGTCATATCGACGTTTATGGTAATCATTTTTATTTATATGTAATACTTGTTCTATACGTAATGACGCACCTGGTGCGTCGTGTGAGACCACGTTCAAGTACTGACGAAACATTAATAAATTATTGTACGTGCTTTATTTTATGACGTTTCAATATTTAAAACAATTGGAATCATTTTTTATTTTGTACTGATTCGATAGCCAATGACACACCTGGTGCGTCGTATAAGGCACTGACACACCTGGTGCATCCCACATTCAAGGACTCAAAAGTTAAAAAATTACTATTAATATCGTATATTATGTTATATCAATATTTATTGTAAACCTTAGAATCAACTTTTACTTCTGTATCAGAACAACTACAACTCAAT